CTCCTCGTCGTCGGTCGCCAGCCGACGACTTGAGGCTTCCGTCGTCGGTCGACAGCCGACGGGCTGAGTCGCGATCGGCGACGGCGCGTCGTCCGCCGACGGGCCGACGCACACAAAGCGACGACTCGCGCGGACGAAGAATCGCAAACTCGAAAGGATGAAGTTAAGCTAGCAAACAAGCTTGCCTCGAGGCCGGCTATACAATAGCTTCATTTTTTCCTGCGAACAGAGCATGTGGCTACGGGGAGGGTACGGGCCGAAGGATAAGGGAGAGTGGAAGGAGGTGGCATGAGGATAGGGAATGAGTGAGAATGATGGAGCACGGAATAGTACGGTAAGGCGAGATGAGGAGGGGACTGGGAAGCAGGTTCGGGGAAGGAGGCGCTACAATGGGAGTCGTGAAACGGACAAATATAGACCATGGGCCGAGGTGGCAAAGAGTAGAGTTAGCTTCCAGCTATATATAGCTCACTCATATCAGCTCCTTGCCATGCTGATATGATGCGCGAGCGTGTATGTGCAACGGGGACGTAAAAGACATGCGCATTACGGTAACAACAAAGGTGGTGATGTATACTGTTGCATGTGTGCGTGCTGTGCGTGGGCGTGCTGTGCGTGCGCGTGCGTATGGATGCAGTAATGGCCAAAACGCATCTGTGTGTACTGCGGACATGAAACAGCGGTAACACTTACGCTAGGGGAAGATTCCTGCCCGCGCGCCGAGCCGCTACGGAAACAGCGCCCTAGTCGGTGGCATGGTTTCATTTTTGGGGCGAGGGCGGGGGAAACAGTGACATGACGACAACGTGCGTGCATCTCCGCGCTTGATGACTCTCGTTACGGCGGCAAACTCTATTTGGGTGGTTAATTAGGCACCGCGGCTCACACACGCACGAACGCACGCACGCACGCACGCACGCACGCACGCACACACACACACACACACACACCTTTTGTTCACTCACGAGGGGGTAATGGAACACCCGGCTAGTGCAGGTTGGATGCGAGACTTTCAGACCACAGACACTTACACATTTCCGAATGTCTGACAGGTTGGTACGCGGGTGCTGGGGGAAAGAGGCATTGGGTGACACATACCAGGGACAACGACTCAAAACCCGAGTCATCAACAGTACCCTCTAACCATTTCGCCACCCACTTACGTCCCACGCGGACCACCTACAAACGCCGTACCGGCGCGTGCCGACACGATTAGAACCCCCTTCCTTTCCCATTCCTCTCGCTCCTCCCCCCCCCTCCTCCGCTCTGTCAAAGACTCACAACGCGCCACACGTCGACAGTTTTGCGTCGTTCAGGTGAAACGCCGACGCGTTGCTAGTGACACGTTGCTTTGTGGCAGCGAGGTGCTTAGGAGACACACATTAGTCGCTGATGTCTTTAAAAGCTCGGCTGCGCCTTTTGATCTCGCGATTCTAGGGGAAAAGATCGAGAGAGAATCTTGGCGGAAGACCGCGCTTTCTCGTTCATCGTCGGCGGCTGCTGCTATTACGGAGACTCGGGGGCATTGCTGCCAGAATCAAAAACCCGACGCGCCACGATAAAAACCGCATCGAAGAACGAATGACAACGGAGACTGTACGTACTACTAGCAGCATAGAAGAACACGCATTCAGCAAAGGCGAAGGGGGGAGGGGGCGGGCGGACGCAAGAATTACTTTTGCGAGAAACGAAAGAAAAGGGAACGCAAGAATTACTTTTATTAAAGAAAAAAAAGGGGGAGGATGGAAGAATCACTTTTGCGAATAATAAAAGAAAGGGGAGAGGGCGAACGCAAGAATTACTTTTGCGAAGCAAACGAGAAACAAACGACAATATTTTTTTCTTCACAATTTCTACTCCTATTAGTTTTCTACTCACCGCACTTGCCCTCGTAGACGACGCTGATGTTGCGCATGTTCTCGCAGGCTGCCTTATTCAGTTCGCACGTGTTCGGATAGTTGCGTCCGTCGCTGCCGCACACCTCGGCGCCGCCGACGTTGTCGCCGTACGAGTAGCACGCCTTCGGGCACTCGCAGGCCGCCGTCGTTCCGTCGATCGACCGCACGCACTCGGCGCCGTAGGGACATCGCGTGTTCTCGCACGGGTCTCGCTCATCTTCGGGAAACAGATAACAGCAGTGAGCGGTGGTGAGAAAGAGCGGAAGCAGAGCGCCGACGAGCGCCGTCCACAGCAGCGACGTCGTCGTCGACGGTGATCGCCGCCGACGACGCGCCAACGACGACGTCGCCCGTCGTTGACAGCAGCCGAGCGACGGCGGTGGGGGAGGAGGCGGCGCCCCCTGGAGGGTGGCCGACGGTGTTTTCTGCGGGGAGTGGCGGACGCGTGGTGGCGTCCGGTCGGCAGTGCGTGGCGACGTCGCTGTCGCCGCTGCCGTCGTCGTCACGTTCTCGCACGCTTCCACGGCGCGCGCGGTGCCTGTTGTTAGATACACCCCGTGGTCGCTGTGAAACGTAGTGCGACCGTCGCTGTCATAGCTAAGGTGACGGTCATCGTCACAAATAACATGACGGTCGCTGTCACAGCTAACATGACCGTAATTGTCACAGCTAGCGTGACCGTCGCTGTCACATACAGCGTCGCCGTCAATGTCACGAATACCGCGACTGTCCCTGTCACAACCGTCGCGACCGTCAGTGTCACGGCTACTCCGCGCGTCCGTGTCACCTCCGTCACGGCCGTCACCGTCGCACGTCGCGCCGTCGCGCCGCGTGACAGGCGCCGCGACGACGTGCGAGCGCGTCGCACGGGCCGCACTCGCTTCCCGCATCCTCTTCCTCCTCATCTCCTACACCTCAGCATCTCACACACGGAGCTGCTCTCTACGTCTCAGCCGCTCCCGCTAGGCAGCTGACAGCTCGTCCCGCCGTCACCGCTGCAGCATCACCGCCAGCGTCGTCACCTCGGCAACACGACAACGTCGACAAGCATAATTATAACTCACAATCGCCTGCGATTCCAACGAGAGCGAGCGAGAGAGAGAGAGAGAGACAGCGAGCGAGCGAGAGAGAGAGAGAGAGAGAGCGCGCGTGAGAGAGGCGGTGTGCGTCAGAACAACCCGCCCAGGCACACACACGCGCGCGCTACGAGTCCGCCGACGCGAGTGTAGCGTTTAAATTCGCGGCGCAAATTCGCCGCGGCGCTGTCGTCGCCGTCGTCGCGCAGGAGCGGAGAGCGGGTCGGCGGCCGGTGTGCGCGCGCGCGCGTATCATGCTGCGCCGCCGCCGTCGGCTCCCTGCTGCTGCTGCTGCTGCTGCTGCTGCTGCTGCTGCTACTGCTGCTAGTGCTGCTGCTGCTGCTGCATCAACGCGCTGTCTCTCTCTGTGTATAGCAGGCCCACACGCTCGCCGGCTGCTGCTGCGGACGCATCACGCATCATCTCTCTCGCGCGCTACTCTCATCTCTCTCTCCTCGCTATCTCTTGGCTCGTTTCTCATCCATGGCTCTCATGTCCATCTCTCTCTCTCGCTCTCTTACTATCTTTCGCATCTCGCCCCTCTCTCTTCTATTCTTTCGCTATCTCGCTATCTCGCTCCTCTCATCGCCTCTCTCCATCCTCTCCCCTCTCCTGCTCGAGTAGAGCAAGACCAAACGCGCCCCCACGCAGAGCTGCTGCTTGCGGCTAGTAGAGCATGCAGCAACACGCGCAGCCCTCGCACGCCTGTCTCTGTCTCTTTCGCTCTCCTCGCACTCGCTCTCTTTCACTGCGCCTCCCCCCACCCGCGCGCACTATCTCTCTCCTCATCACTCTCTCTCTCTCGATCTGTCCTTTACCGCTAGGTCTCTCATCTCTCTCTCTCATCTCTCTCCCCTCCCTCCTCTCTCCCTCTCGACCCTCCGCTACCCTCCCTCCCACCACCTCTTTCTCTCTCTCTCTCATCTCTCCTCCGTATCTCTCTCTCCCTCCCGCGCGCGCGCGCGCGCACGAGGATTTCTCATCTCTCTATCTTTCTTTCTCTCTCTCTCGTCTGTCTGGCCTCACCCCGCCTATCCTGCGTCCTCGTTCTTCTCTCCCTCTCCCTCTCTCTCTCTCTCTCTCTCTCCCTCCTGCTTCGCTCCTCACCTCTCCTCTCTCTTCTCTCTGCATCTCTCTCTCTCTTGCGCTCTACCGTATGCGACTCAATCTCTTTCCCTTGCAGGCCAGCTTCCTATCTCTCACACAATCCCTCTCTTTCTCTCCCCCTCTCTCTCGTTCTCGTTCTCCCCTTCTCGCTCCATCTCTCCCGACACACGCAGACGCAGCTAGTCACTAGCCATCATCGTCGGGTCGATGTTTGTCCGCAAGCTCTCTTCACATCGAGTATATATGCACTCGGTATGAAAATATATAAATATAGAATGTACATGAGGAAGCACCAGTGGATATGTTACCTACGCCCCCCCCATTCCACCTAAACAGACACGCGCACGCACGCAAAACGCACAACGTGACAGCCTGGCTGTTGTTAACATGTTGTTATTGTTGTTGTTGTTGTTGTTGTTGTTGTTGTTGTTTGTCTGTTGTTGTTTTGTGCTACTACTGCTGCTGCTACTGCTACTGCTACTGCTACTACTGCTGCTGCTGCTACTGCTACTACTACTGCTACTGCTACTGCTACTGCTGATGCTGCTGCTACTATTACTGATGCTGCTGCTGCTACTACTACTGATGACACTGCTGCTGCTGCCACTCTTACTACTGCTACTGATACTACTACTACTCTTACTGATGCTACAACTACTGCTGCCACTGGTACTACTACTACTACTACTGCTACTGCTACTGCTACTGCTACTACTGCTACTGCTACTGCTACTGCTACTACTGCTACTGCTACTGCTACTACTGCTACTGCTACTGCTACTGCTACTGCTACTGCTACTACTGCTACTGCTACTGCTACTGCTACTACTACTGATACCTACTACTACTGCTCTCTGCACAAGTTTTCATATATGGAAATCAATATCGGCTGCATAGCCGCTCGCGCGCGCTGCCTTTCAACGATCACATGATCAAATCAACTGGTGGTTAATATTTAATGCCTAATATCACCGTAATAGATTGTGACTTTCCTGCGCGCGCGGAACTCATATAATTAGCGTGCGCGTGTGCGCGCGGCCCTAAACCCCCTCCCACCTCACCCTGACCACCCACCCACCTACCGGAGAGTAATAGAAGACCTCACTCACGGAACGAACGAGTATACCGTCGCCCGTGCGTGCCGACTAGCTTCATCAGTGGATTAAGGATCCGAAGCAATGTTCGTGCATAAGCAGTCGTTACATCTCTGTACGCTTATCGATCCGTGTCACCGGGCCAATAGTTGTTGTTGGGTCTTCTTAGCTAATGGGAGTAACTATACACCTTCACCTGATGAGCCCCTGATAGCGGATCTAAGCGTTGCACTAAGCCTACGCGAATGCATGCATAGGGTCTACGCGCCGTCATCCGTGCGCTACGTTAGGCGAGTTATGCACGCGATTATGATTGGCCATCGTACTCAGAAATAATTATTTTTACCGCGGTTAAATTACGTGTAACAAGGCCTCTGATTGGGGCGGTAAAAAATTATTTCGCGGCGGTTTATTTACATGTATCAAGGCCTCTGATTGGGTAAAAAAGACTACAATTTAACCGCGGTCGAATTATTTCTACCGGGGTAAAAATAATTACCATTTCTGAGCACGATGGCCAACCATACTCGATGGCCTCTCCCCAGTAAGAGATGAATAAATAAGAGATTGCATCGGCGGTCGTAAATTCAAATACGCTACACCCTGACATGCACCGATAATGACACAGTGCGCGCTGGGCGAGCGAGCAAGAACGCGCGTATATAGCCTCGCTGTGAAATTTAGATAGCCAACGCCATCTATAATAGATGAAGCCTGATGACTTACCTGCCATAATAGCATCTGTTATTTATGCGCGCTGATCCATATTTTCTGCGTGAGACGCAGCGCGCGTCATAAATGAACAATGAAACAATCTACATTCGAAATTCTATCTACAATCTATATTCGTAACGTAACTAAGACGACAGCCGAAGAACAACGGAGCAACAATGAAACAATCTACATTCGTAACGTCACTGACACGCCTGCGCCGAAGAACAACGGAGCAACAATGAAACAATCTACATTCGTAACGTCACTGAGACGCCCAGCCGAAGAACAACGGAGCAACAATGAAACAATCTACATTCGTAACGTCACTGACACGCCTGCGCCGAAGAACAACAGAGCAACAATGAAACAATCTCCATTCGTAACGTCACTGACACGCCTGCGCCGAAGAACAACGGAGCAAACAATGATAACAAATCTAACATTCGTAACGTCACTGAGACGCCTAGCACCGAAAAGAACAAACGGGAGCAAACAATGAAACAATCTACATTCGTAACGTCAAACTGACACGCCCTGCGGCCGAAGAAACAAAGGAGCAACAATGAAATCAATCTCCCATTCGTAAACGTCCATCTGAAAACGCTAGCCGAAAGAACAACGGAGGCAACAATGAAACAATCTTACATTCGTAACGTAACTAACACGCCTGCGCCGCGCGAAGAACAACAAGAGCAACAATGAAACAATCTACATTCGTAGCGGTCACTGAGACGCCTAGGCCGAAAGAACATAACGGAGGCAACAATGAACAATTACATTCGAGCGTCACTGAGACGCCTGCAGCCGAAGAACAAAGGAGCAACCAATGAAACAATCTACATTCGTAACGTAACTAACATGCTCCTGCGCCGAAAGAATCAAACGAGCAACAATGAAACAATGCTACATTCGTAGCGTCACTGAAGACGCCTAGGCCGAAAGAAAACAACGGAGGCAACAATTGAAACAATGCTACATTCGATACGTCAATGACACGCCTGAGGCCGAAGCGAACAAAGGAGCAACAATGAAAGCAATCTACATTCGTAACGTCAACTGACACATTAGCCCCCGGCGTGCCTGCGCCGAAGAACAACGGAGCAACAATAAAACAATCTACATTCGGTAACGTAACTGACACGCCTAGCCGAAGAAACAACGGAGGGCAACAATGAAACAATCTAACATTCGTAAACGTCACTGACACGCCTAGCCGAAGACAACGG